GCTCCCAAATGGTAATGGGATCAAGGGGATATGTGTGCGACTCCAACAAGGTTTGCTAAACCATGCCCTTCCTTGTCAAATTTCTTTTCTTCTTTCTCCAGGGCTCCTGTAATTTTTCTTATGACCTAGTACATTCTATTTTTTTCTTGAACATTTTCTTTCAATATTCTAAATTGGCAGGTGGTTCTCATGTGTGCTTGGCAAAATTTCTCTTTGTAACTTAGTCTGTTGGTCCCAGGCTTGCCTTCTGTAGCTAGGAGACTACCTCTGCTTCCTCTTACCCTTCAGGAAGTTGAAAATAGCAATCATTTAACTTCTAGAGGATTCCTTGAGCCTAAAATCTCCAGCTCCTTCACCTGCTCCCTATATGAAGAAAAATTTTCCTATACCTCACCTCCTTCACCTGGCTTCTTTGGATATCCCCCAATTTGTTCAAGAATTTCTAAAAATATGACCTCAGAATAGGAAATGGTGCTACAGGTACCTTCAGATTTGAGTATTCAATCAAATGTTGTTTGGGAGAATGTATTGGTTACCACAGCATTATCTCTTGCCTCAGAGAACTACTGTTAATATTGTAAACTTGTGGGGGTAAATAAGGGAAAAAAGTCCATAATATATTTTTAAGTCTTATAACAAGAGGGAGAAGCCACTAATTTTTCCCCTCTGGGTCTCCAACCTCTGACCATTGAAGTTAGTGGGCTTCCTTCCTGCTGTGTTTTGATTGTCCCCTAAGACCTTGTGTGTTGGAATTTAATTCCCATTATGAGGTATTAAGAGGGTGGAGACATAGACTAAGTATGGTGCCTCTGGGAGGTGATTAGGATTAGATGAGGGTGGAGTCCCCATGAGTAAATCCTTGCTGGCTTTATGAGAAGGGGAAGAGATCAAAAGGCATATGCATACACACATGCACTGGCTATTTCTCCTTGTCATGTGATGCCCTGCACTGTCTTGGGACTCAGTCAGCAAGGAGGCCATCACCAATTGTGGACCCTTGCCTCTGTACCTCCAGAAGTCTGAGTCAAATTAAACCTCTTTTCTGTGTAACTTAAGCAATCTGTGGTGTTGTGTACTCGCAATGGAAAATGGACGACTACATGCTCTTTTTGGGGAAACATTGACATCACACCTAGAATAAGTTGCTAGCAAGACTAGCAAATTCAGGATGTAGCAAAAATTATTAACAATCCTCTAGGACATGGTTTTCAAATTTTCATGTGCATAAGAATCACAGGGAAGGCTTGTTAAAGCAGATCACTGGCCCCACTCCCAGAATTTGATTTAGCCAGTTTGAGGTTGAGTTGAAAATTTATATTTCTTAACAGGTTCCCAGGTGATGTTACACAAGCAGTATTGAGAACCACTCCTCTACTACATTTCCTGACTGCTTGGGCTCTGGTATTATTTCTGAATGCTTCAGTCAAAAGAAGGAGTAGAAGCAAAAAGATATCTCTTGTGTACCTTGTGTGCCAGGAGCAGTTACACACACACACACACACACACACGTATATACACACATATGTATACACACACATGTATACACATAAATATGGGATATATGTGACTGTTATATATAATCTTATGTATATTATATATAATCATATATATTATGTAAAATCTTATTTCCACAGTGACACCAATGTAGAGTCAATATCCTATTTTTAAAAATAATAAAATGATAATCACAAAATTTAAGACACTTGCTTTACAGTCACATGAGACAGAACTATAAGAGGATTTGGAATTGTTGCCCAAGTCTGACTGACTCCCAAGGCTAGCCCTTCCCCACTCACCACACTACTTCTTGAGCTGTCAGCTGGGCCAGAATACCAACATTACTCATGATTAATACACACACACACACACACACACACACATTTGCTTGAATTGCATGTTACAAAGACAAAATATATTTCACACACATGAAAAATTGGCCTTGCAAAGGTGAACATGGATTTTTTCCCTACTGCATACATGTTGTCTTTTGTAATTATGTTTTCACAATAAACTTCATGACTGACTGACTAATAATAGGATTTCCATGGAGGTTGCCAGAATTCATGTGTTGGAAGAAAGCAGATTGGATTGAAAAGAGCCAGTAATGATAGAATGACAAAGGGCTAACCTGCCAAAAGACTAGATCCTAAATATCTAATAGGTAAAATTTAGAATTTTGTGGTTTTGACAAAAGGTTCCCAATATTATCATTATATAGTCTTTTTATTCCTCAAAAGTGCATTACAATAGACAAATCTTAAAAACATGCTAAGTGAAACAAATTGGTTACAAAAGATCATGTATTGTAATATTTATATGGAATGTCCAGAATATATACAGAAAGAAAGTATATTAGTGACTGCTTAGAGCCTGGGGGCTGATGGTATAGGGGAATGACAGCAGAAGAGTAAAGGATTTCTTTTTGAGGTGAAGAAAATATTCTAAATTTAGAGACTGATGGCTGTACAACTTTGGGAATATACTAAGAAACACTGAACTGTAAAATTTACGTGGGCAAATTCTATGGTAGGCTGATTATATCTTAATTCTGTTACCTAAAAGAGAACTTTATATTTGTAAAAAAATTATAATGTCCATTGTACATGAAAGTTTATAGCTTTGAATTTTTTAAAACATGTACAATTATGTTAACCAAATTCATATGTGACTCCCTAATGTGACAGCACTATAAATTACCCCTTGTGAGGTGTGTTTTGTTATATAGCCTAAATGGACTTAGAAACTAATTTAAGACACACATCCTCCACAATTTAAAAACACACTGAAATTTTATTTAGCATACTTAATATTGCACAGAAATTACAATACTGGCACAACATAAACATTACTCAAAGATAATGATTTCCTTGGGTTGACAGTTAAAACATTTTCTAAATAAGTTCTTATAAATACATCTAATATCAAAATGTCTTCGGTTAACATACTTCATTATATCCTCACTGGCAAAACATATTGGTGAGTAACAAACACATACTTGTTGTGTAGAACTGGATTTTTGATGTTAAAATGTAAAGTTTTCTATAGCATCTGAAGTGTGACATTTTGGATTTGACTGGAATGCAGTGATGGGCAGTTCTGAAGTGACGTGATCCAGTTTCTGGGTTAAAAATATGCTGTTTAAAAAACATTTACATGATTTTAAATTGATAAGGCAATAATCATATTTTATTACCCCCAAATAGTTGGTTTAAATAAAGTGTGTGGCACTATTTTATTATCATATACAAGGTCACATAGTGGGAAGGGAGCACTGGATTCTTGTCCAGATTCTGTAACTAAATATCCAAGCCATCCAGACAAACCATACTCTCTCTGGGGCTCATTTGTCATAATTGTTTAAAACTAAAGTAGGTTTTAGAGAAAAGGGACAAGGTTTGGCTAAATGATCTAAAAAAAAAATCCCTTCTAGCAAAATTCAGTTGTGTTGAATAAAGGCCATGTAAATTCAAAATACAGATCTGTGCAAAGTGAACCATACTGATATTTTACTTTTGAACCCAGAATTTTAATATTAACCCCTATCCAAATTTCTACAAATGAATATGCCCTCTCTGAACCCATCTGTAGCTATAACATTAGGAATTCATATTGGAGCACTTTTAGTATCTGAACTTTAAGGAAGCCCAGCCGCAGCCTCTGCCTGCACTTTGTAATTTGACCATTTAAGTTATAATGCACTTCTATCTTTGAAAGCAAAATTCTTTTTCTAATATTTTTATGCATTTAAAGAATTATTTCTAATAGGAGACCTTTTAAGTACTGGTGGCACACTAAGCAGGAAATGACAGACTCCCCCCACCCATGAAATACAACCCCAACTGCCAGAAATACAAGTTATTTCAGATGCCTTCAAAAGGTTCACTTAAAATAGACTGCCAGAGGAATTGCACCAGAAAACAGAAAAATCAATTCTAGATGAAAGCAAACACACAGAAGCTTCCAAATTGGCAAGAGAGATCAGTTATATCAATCATTTAGTTATTTAAGAGCAGGAAGCAGGAGATGGACAGACTCTCCTAATGTCTCAACATTGGGGTACTTTTAGTCATAATTTCTGTGCTGGGTGTTTCTTATAAAAATAACTTCACCAGGAGGAGTCCTCCCAAGAAACTCCAGCTCTATCGAGCTTTGCTATCTTCCTGCTCATTATCATGACATTGAGGATGTAGCAGCCAGTAATTAGATCAGACATGGAAAAACAGGGAGAGAAAACTATAAAGAATTGTTTCTTTTAAAGGAAGTGGCCAAAGAAAATCCAAATCAGCTACAACTTCCTTGTCCATGTTGCAAAGGGATGGGTTGAGCAGGGTCCAAGAATGGAAAGAAAGAACCCAGCTGGGGCGGTACCGAAGGGGTGGGAGCAAATTCCCAAATGGGGAATATGAAAAGAGGCATCCTCAGAGACATGACCTGCCTTGGGAAGGGCGCAGAATAGGCCCAGGTGAGTAGAGCGTTACTCAGCGCCCCTGGCGGGAAGCCTGGATTCGTCCAGGAGACCTTTTTCCGAAGTTTCCTTTGTGCATAGCAGCCCTGCTGGGTGTCAGCGCGCAAAGTCACCGTTTAATTCCCGCTAGCTCCAGACACATTAGGGCCTCTTTAAAGCAGAAAGCTGATCCAGGGGCTTCCTTCCCGGGCACAGCTGCACCAGAAGGTCGACAGTCGTCCTGCCCAGCAGGGCGCCTCTTCCTGGACACCACCAGGTTGAGGCTCTCTGGAGACTTGTACCTCACAGGAGCGTTCGCTCCCTACCCATAACCAAGGTACAGAAACACTTCTGGTGACTAGCGGCCAGTCGGGCCACCCGAATCAGGTCCCTGGTCCGGTTCGCTTTCTCTTGGGCCCCCACCCTCTGTTCGCAGCCAGCAGTTGGGGCGGGGCGCGCCAGACAGGCCGAGGTGGCGCGCTATTCCTGTCACTGTGAGCTACCAGCATGTTATGTGCGGCGCCCAATCACGCTTTCAACTAGCTGCGCGCTGCGCTGACCTGCGGCCCTCCCCTGTCCCCTAGTCTAATCCCCTAGGCCTTGATTTGATCCTCTACGCGGAACATGCTCACCCCCCTCTGCCCCGTAGCCAGTTGTCTCTGGCCCTCCCGGGTGCCCTCAGAACCCGTCCTACTCGTCCACAACCAGGAGGTCAGAACCCTCACCCCACACTACCAGAACGCCTGCAGTCGGGCTGCATCTGCGTTTTTGGGCCGTCGGATATCTTGTGTCTCCGCTGGCCACCGGCAGCTCGGCCCTTCCAGGTGATGGTGCGCGGCCACCGCCGCCCCTGGTGCGTAGGTGTGAGTTACCTAAATTGGGCCGAGGAGGGGGCTTTGGGCAACGAGCTGGCAGCCTTCGCAGCCGCTGAAACCAAGCCCCATATCCCCTGGAAGACTCCAAATTTCGCGTCCTCGGCTACTAGGGACTTCTGGAAACGGTTCTCAGACCAGATTTTCTCTGAGAGGGGCACGGGGCGACCAGCGGGCGGTCCTGGATGAAAGCGCCCTGGGCTTTAAGCTGAGCTGGCAAAAATGGTCTGCTAGGGCCTTTGCCACTCTTTCAGGGGCTTTGGGGGTTCCGTGCCCTTGGATGTCTCCAGCCGCGCCCGGCTGGCTCCATTCCCGGACCGGCTGTTTCCCGCCCAGGGCATCATGAGTTACTTCCTGTCTTACTGCAAAGCTCATGGCGGCGCGCTGCTCACCGGCTACCAGGCCCTGCGGGCCGAGGGTTTCTTGTGCGACGTGACACTGGAGGCCGAGGGCAGCGAGTTCCCGGCGCACAGGTCTCTGCTTGCGTGCTCCAGCGATTACTTCAGGGCGCTGTTCAAGAGCCACACCCGGGAATCACGGGCGCGCGTGATCCACCTGCACGTGCCGTCGGCGGCCGGCCTGCAGCGCTTATTGGACTTCATCTACACTGCCTGGCTGCCTCTCTCCATGGATACCGTGGAGGACACTCTGGAGGCCGCCAGCTACCTGCAGGTCACCGAGGCCTTGGGGTTGTGTGGTCGCTACCTGGAGCGTCAGCTGGCCCCAGAGAACTGCTGCTTCACCGCCAACGTGGCAGCGCGCTTTGGCCTGGCGCATACAGTGGGCGCGGCTGAACGCTGCATTGTGCGCCACTTGCGGGAACTGCTTGCGCTGGGTGTGGGGCCTGCGGGGCTGCTGGAACTGAATCCAGCGTCCCTAAAGGCCATGCTAGGTGACCCTGACGTGGCACGGGTGCCCGAGGCCCGGTTGTTGGGTCTGACGCTGGCCTGGCTGCGGCAGGAGCCAGCAGCCGAGCGCCTGGCGCACAGTGCTGCGCTGCTTGAACGTATACGTTTTGGCCTGGTGCCCCCTGAGGTCCTAAGGCGTGTATACTCAGGCTCCGGTCTTGCCCTGCCCGCTCGGGTCAAGGGTCTCATCATCCAGGCCCTTAACTATCATACAGCACCCTCCCGCCAGCCGCTCCTACACTGTGAACAGACTAGCATCCGGAGCCCCCAGACCCGCATCTTGTTGATCGGGGGTCGCAGGGGGCGGGAGGCGGTGATAGAGGAGGTCGTGGTTCCACGGGCAGCAGCCAGGCACCCAGGCCCAGCAGCTGAACCCCAGGAGGAGGAGGAGGAGGAGGAAGAAGAAGAGATGGAGGAGGAAGAAAAGGAGTGGGAGGTCACCCAGGACGTGGTGGCCTTTGACGTGTACAACCACCGTTGGCGCAGCCTCACGCGGCTGCCTACACCACTGCTGGGGCACAGCGTGTGTACCGTGGGTAACTTTCTGTTTGTCCTGGGTGGGGAGACTTCTTTTGGCAGCCCCTCCACTCCCCTGGCTGATGGCCCATGGGCGGTCACGGCCCAAGTGCACCGTTATGACCCGCGATTCCACGCTTGGACCGCGGTGCCCGACATGAGAGAAGCGCGCGCCTACTTCTGGTGCGGTGTGGTGGGCGAGTCTCTTCTGGCTGTTGGAGGCCTAGGAGCTAGTGGTGAAGCTCTGGCCTCGGTGGAGATGTACGACCTGCGCAGGGACCGCTGGACTGCAGCTGCGACGCTGCCTCGGGCGCTGCATGGCCATGCAGGGGCCGTTGGAGACCGGGATGTTGTGTACATCTCTGGGGGCAAGGCGGGGAGAGGTGAGGGCGGTGCTAGTAGCCTCCGGGACTTGTATGCCCTGGGCCCTGGGGAGCGGATATGGAGCAAGAAGGCGCCCATGGGCACAGCCCGCTTCGGGCACCAACTGGCGGTGCTGCGAGGCGCAGTGTTTGCCTTTCTGGGACGATATGAACCCTTCTCCGAGATCGAGCGCTATGACCCTGGTTCAGATCAGTGGACTCGGTTGAGGCCACTGCCCTATGACCGCTTCTGCTATGGGTTGGCCGTGGTGGAGGAGACTGTGCTGCTGCTGGGCGGCCTCAAGTGGCGGGACTCGCGCCAGGTGCCTACCCGTAATGTGGTGGGTTACGACCTGGACCTCGACCGCTGGGAGGACATCAGCTGCGCGCTGCCCTGGGCCTGGAGCGGCCTACAGTGCGCGGTGCTGCAGCTGACTGAGGGTGGGGATGAAGAAAGGGAGGAAGAGCCTGGAGACTTGCTAGGTTTAATGCTGGGTTAGTCTAGTCTCTGTCTCAGGGAGGATGAAGGAAAAAGTCGTGCAACAGACGGGCTTTTCCAGAGTGGAATTCTGATAGCAGAGTGGCTTCTGAAGATTGAGGAGGTAAAAGAGGCATTGGCTAAAGGGAAACAGCTCCTCTTGAGCTGAGAATGGGAGACAGGAGAGGTCACATGGAAGGATATATGAATCAGCTTCAATGAACTGGTATTTTGAAAATAAAACGAGCCCTATTTCCCCTCTTAAAGTGTTTCCCTAGATGCCAAACAGTTAATAGCTTCCTGCTCCCTCCCCACAAAAAGGTCAAAAATGTTCACAAAGTTATATACAAATCCCAGAAAATTGTTGGCTATAAAAGCTGTAATAAATAGTCCTAGAAGATGGCATTATCAGAATAAATAGTGAAGGAAAAGTGCCTTGGTTAAGCAGTATGAAATCATTGTAGGGATAACTATGATTTTATGAACCAGAGCCACAGTTATAGTTCTGCTCTGATAGTTCCATAAAAATAGGAAACTGAGAGGGGGAAAAAATCTCAGAAGCACTTTCTTTGAGATAGTATCCTTGGTTAAATCTTTCCATCCCTGGTTTCCACCTCTAGTCTGCTTTTGTACTGGCTTCAGGTAATTCATTGGTTTAAAGTCATATTTCAGCAAACCTTAGCAACAATAGTCTGTATTTGTAAAAAAAATAATTAACTTATTTTTTGGTGGATTCTCACCACTTCCCCCAAAAGAATCACAGAGAAAGGAAAGAAGAATAGGTGAAGTTTTTCCCGTTTGTGTAGGTAAGTGGGAAACCAGATTGATTTTTCAAGGTCTCAGAGAAGATACTTGAAAGCTTGAGACAGGTTTTCCTTCTGGCTTGTGCCAACAAGGAGGTGGCAAAATTGGATCTCATAACTGGGGTGGTGCTAGTGCTGGTGGTTGTGTGATTAGGTCACAAAGAAATGTAAGGACTTTGCATGAATAAAGTAGGTGCTTTATAAGGATTCATTAAGAGCTGAATTTATTTGACTTCAGTTTACAATGGTGCCTCTCTCCTAGATTTGAAACTAATGCAATAAATTGTACAGATATATAGTGTTAAAAGATCTCTTTCATGCTAGGCTAGCCACGAGTCTTGTAAAGTTTCATTAGTTTAATTTTTACCATTTAAACAACAGAGCTGACTTTACAAAAGTAGAAGCTGCTTAGTAGCAACAGAGCTAGTCTTCCCATCAACTGCTTGCTGTTTACAGGCCATAACCTGGCCCCTGTTTACATGACACATCCATCAGATACAAATATTTTTAAATTAACATACACATTTGGTCTAGTAAACATCAATAAGTCTAAACACCTGTAACAAGCACACTTCATTTTAGGACAAGAGGTTTTTTTTTTTTGTTTGTTTTGTTTTTACATATACAAAATCCCACAAATTTAATGTGCATCAATATCCATGCAGTAAATAAATGTTTTTACAAATAGAGTTTTTAAATGATAAAAATATTACACTGGACCCAAAATTCCATACAAACATTAATACATGATTTCTCATCCATTTTGACTAAATATAGGATTACTGAAAATGTGCTGTAGAAAGGCCACTCTCCTGTACAGTTGTGCAAAGTCTGCAAAACAATAGTGATTCAATGGTGGTTTCAAAAGCAAAGAAAAAGATCCCCGCTGTGGAGTTTTACTTTCTCCTCTACAGCAAAAATATTCACTGGCATATATCTGAACTCTTAAAGATGTAAGTACATTCACTGAGCTGTACAGGCAACAGTATAAAGCTGATTAGAAGTAGATTTTAGGATATAGAATAGTAAAGGAGGGTCCCTTCCTCCTCCTGGAAAAAACAGCAAATTGTGACTTGCACGTTATGCAGCCAGACACTAAAAAGCAGCACAGTCATTTTCATGCTGTGATCACTTTCAAAAACGAGACGCTTATAAATGGAAATATATGAAGAGGACCTTTTCATAGGCTTCATCCACTCTACAGAACAATTCATGATGCTAGGAAAAACCTCTAAATTGTTTCTCTCATGGAATTCAATGAGACATCTCTCTGTCCATCACCCTCTTGCTCCTTAGGTGAGAAGTACATTTTTATTTTTAACATTGTTTTCTTTATATAACACACATCTGCCTATAATTAAACATATTTTACTTCCCTTCCTGAAGTATAATTACATAAGTTCAATTAATGGACTGGGCGGGGGGGGGGACTGGAGACTAACTGGAAAGTTGATTCATTTCAGTTTATACCTTGTCATCTTTTATGAGTTAAGAGTTCAAAAACATGAGTTTGGGCTGAACTTATATATATAGCTGTTAGCTGCCTTTCTGGGTGAGTTAAGTCTGTTTAAAAAAATCCATTCTTAAATTCTTCTGTACACAATCAGCATTTCATCACTACAAAAATAAAGGAAGATTTAAACCAAGAAAATAAAGCAGCTCTATCTTCAATTTTGGTCTTAGTTACAAAAACATCTTACAAAGCTTTGCCCTGATAAACCATTAAGTGTTCTCATAGATTTGGAATAATATTTCCATTAACCAGCTTTCACAAGTTAATAGACTATTAAGACGTATATTAGATACCTGAACTTTTCTTATGTCGATGCTCTTCTAGTTTGCTTAACTCTTGTACGCACACCTACATTTCACAAAAATAAAACTACAGCATTAAACTTTGTGCAATGTTTAAGAAAATTCTTAGGACATTTTAATAAATATAAAAAAGGTTTAAATTCTTTCCCACCCACAAGGATGTCTGCACCTGAAAAAATGTGATTTACGTTTGAAGTCTTATTTATATAAAATTAACTTAAAGGGAGAAAAGATGACCTTAGATAGAAAACTGCCTTTTTGTGGTTTTACTACTTGAAGACCACCTGTATTCAGGATTGTTTGCAAAAGTTAATTTTAAGTCATTAAAGATAGTTGAGTTTGCACATGGTAAACATAAGCTGAGCACTGATTGCATATAAAATATACAAATGCTCATTAAAGACAGTGGTATTGTGATCATATATGGTTTGTTTCATATAGTTTGGTAACATTAAAGTATAGCTTGTCAAGTATCCTGCACATTGATATAAAAACTACCTTATATACTTGTTCAGAATACCAGCAGGTACTAGATGGCCTGAAGGCTGAATGCACTTACACATGCGTTTCAATGTAGGAATGAGTGTGTGTTAGAGAGGAAGTAATTACATCTACTTCAGGAGAAATACTTAATGGGTCATTTGAAGTGGTGTTTTGACAGATATCCAAGAAAAGGTCGAGGTACATCTGCTTCCACTGTTGGAATTCTTTAGATGTCAACTCTGGATTGTCTAGGACTTTATCAATAATGGCTACTTCCCCTTCTCTGGCCTGAAAAGCAAAGGAATTCAATGGTTACAATGGGGATAAACTTTTATTCAAGTTTAAAATGAAAAGTTAATAGGTTAAAAAATAATCCAGAAGCTCCTAAAACATCTTTGTTATACCCACACTCAGATGTTTAGACTCAAATCCTAGTGTAATTTTTCTATTCCTGATGTATACCTTATGTTGCCCACACTGATTTATTTTTTTCTCTTTGTTTCTCCTGTTGCCCATCTCTGTCTATGGAAACCTTCCTTATGTTTTAAGATCCAGTTTAAGAGCCATTTCCTCAAATCTCCTTAAACACTTGGAGAAAAGGTTTTCTCTTTCACTGATGTCCCTATAATTTTCCATCCCTGCCAATGAGTGGACTTACCACATCCTACCTCTTGAGTTACTTTGGCAATCTTCCTCCCTTTCTATATGGTAAACTACTCACACAAATTCAGAATTCTAATACAAAATTCTTGATACTTGAATGTTGAATGTTATGATTCTCTTCCTGTAATACTGGGGCTTGTAATGGAGAATGACTCTCCCTTCCACGTTGGTGGCTGGGACGCAGCTGAAGACTAAGCTTCATCTTGGCATAACTTACAACTATTGACTATGGTAAAAGAGAATCTTCCAGGTGAAAAGTGGGATGGAGGAGAAGGGGTTAAAACAGTATGAAAAGTCCAGTTCTGTCTTTTATGAGATAAAGAAAGGATAAGAAGTGCAGGAAATGTTCTATGCGAAGTGAGAAGGCATGCCTCTCTGCAGGCCAGAGTTGGGAGGAAAAGAATATATCAAAGAGCCTAAGAAGTGGTTTAGTCTTTGAGGTGAGTGGCAGGACATGGAACAGGGCTGGGACTAAGGATGGTAAAAATTGCCTGTGGTAGGATCTGACATCTGTGTTTGGTAAGAGTTCCTGTTAAAAGTCCAGGGACTAGGTGGCTGGGGTGTGGCTCAGGGGTAGAGCACTTGCCTCCCATGTGTGAGGCACTGGGTTCGATCCTCAGCACCACATAAAATAAATAAATAAAATGAAGATACTGTGTCCATGTATAACTAAAAATATTAAAAAATGTCCAGGGACTAGGTACAACTGAGATTGCTTGATCAGTTGTCCTTTCATAATGGAAGATTTTATAATTTATAAAATCTTCTCCCTCCCTCCCTCCCTCTTCCCTCCTTTCCTTCTTCTTCCCTTCATTGGGGATTGAACCCAAGGCCTCACACATGCTAGGCAAGTGCTCTACCAATGAGCTACATCCCTACCCGATAACCTATTAATTTTCCATGTGCAAAATTACAGGATTCTGTAGTTCATTTTTACAAGTGAGGGTGTTTTCTTTACAGAGACTTTTTCATTTTCATTGTCCCAGATAGTCAAGTACAGCATCACATACCTAATGCTTCATCAATACTTATTGAACTGAACATTGGCAGTAGCTCATACTCTGTGTCACTGGAAGAAAATGATTTTTTTTGGGAGGTGGGGTGGGGTGGGGATATAAAACAGGAGAAGGAGAATACCTTTGGTATAGAGCTGGTCACTGTAATTATTTTTATGAATATTATAGACTCTCTATAAATCATGGTCTAAGTTACCATTAGGTTTTCCTATAGATTTGCAATAACATTTGCACAACTACCCTAATTGAGGGCTGGGGTTGTGGCTCAGTGGTAGAGTGCTTGCCTTGCATGTGTGGGGTGCTGGGTTTGATTTTCATCACCACATATAAATAAATGAATAAAATGGAGGTCCATCAACAACTAAAAATAAATAAATAAATAAATGAATAAATGAATAAATAAATAAATAAAAGATTAAAAAAAAAAGCTAATTGACTTCCGGGCATGGTGGTACAGGCCTGTAATCCCAGCAGCTTCAGAGGCTAAGGCAGGAGGATCTCGAGTTCAATGCCAGCCTTAGTAATGTCGAGGTACTAAGCAATTCAGTGAGACTCTGTCTCTAAATAAAATATAAAGTTGGGCTGGTGATGTGGTCAGTGGTTGAGTGCCCCTGAGTTCAATCCCTGGTACCTTCCTGCTGCGCCCCCACCCCCCCCAAAAAAAAGCGCTAATTGACTGTGAAAACATGGCTGCTTATTACCTGAAATTTTGTCAAAATCATTTATTTTCTATTTTGCTTATCTCTTTGGTAGTTACCTGTATTTCAAAATTACAAAACCTTACCAGCATGCTTATTTCTGAAATATTTCCCACAGAAGCCAATGACTTTTTTTAAAAAAAATATTGTGCTACATTCTATGTGTGAAAGTTATTTTGGTTTTGATTGTTCAAAGGGCCTGATCAGGTTTTTGATGTGGTATACCCTCAACTCCAACCCTCTGCTCCCTACCCCCCATATGCACACAGTGAGAGGGGGGCTCATTTGTTTGCCCTCTTCTTCAACTTCCTGTCTCTTTAGTGGTCCCTTGTCCTTGCCACCTCCTTCCTAGTCTGGGAGTAGCATAATAAGAAGGTGGGGAACAATGTAAGCACTTATAGAAATGTATAATAGGAAAGTAATATGTGAGTTGTGAACTGATAGTGTAAATAAAACAATTATGCAATTTCTACATGGAACATGAATCACTGTGGCTTCACTCCAAATGTGCTGTATGTAGTTCATGCAAGAAATATTCACAAACTATCTTAATTGAATTAGCATCAACTATTGCATTTTTCATGCAACTGTAATAATTATACAAATGCATATTTATCTTAGGAATCAAAAGACTGAGGAATAATACTAGCCCTATGTTTTTTGTAAAAATAATCACACATCCTGTTTTCTCCTAGAACTAAGTCACATAACATTTCATAAGTGTTTTCAGACTTTAATGAAACCTTAACATGATCTCTTTATCAATATACTTACTATGATGTAGGACAGCTCAGCTTCAGTTTTAGTTTCTTATTGTTTATCTCTTTCATCCTCCAGTTCCCTATTTTGTATTGCTTGATTTATAGTATCTGGTCATTCACTTTCAGTTCAAGAATGAATCTCCTAAGAAAAATTTCTCTTTTCAATTAATGTCTTACCTTTAAAGTGCTTTTGAGAATTCTCAGCCTGTGTAGTTTTTCATTCATTACAGGATCATTACATCTTTTAATAAATGACAGCTTGTATTCCATCTTGGTTGAAAGGCGATGTTCTCCTAGTGGTGACAGACTGGCTTGCTCCAGTGCCCTGTATAAATCTTGCAATGAATCTCCTAACTTTTCCTCCCTACTTTCACCTGTAATGTTGGGGGGGGGGGTGGAGAGGGAGAAAGAGAAATAAATCCACTGTAACAAACAATATTTGCTACTCTTGAAAAATCTACTAAAAATCAAAACTATTTGAAAAACAGGATAATGAATGATTGGGAATGCACTATAATATTTAAATAACAATAACAAAAAAATCCCCCCAAAACACCCCATAGCTGCTAGTTACATTGGGTAATATTAGATTAGCTATGGGAAGCTAATTGTTTTAGAATGATTTAATAATAGGATTCTTTGATTACCAAATATTCTCTTGATAGCAAATTACCATATTATATCTTGAATCCATTAAGTTCAAAGAATTAGAGTACAAAAGGTATGCAACATGGAAATAATCTTGTACATAATTTCATTTTTTAAAGAATATCAGTGAATATCCTTTATAATTATACTGATAAGCACAGAAATGCTGGTTAATAGAGCTTTCCTGGTTTATCAATACTGAATGAACTTTTACATTTTTCTAGACTTCATAATATGAAATGGCATCATCAGCATACATTTGATTATAAAAATCTTCCAGTAGTTTTATGGACTATTAGGTTTCATATAACTGACATAGTAATGCTTGGTGCATTGTAATAATATAACTACAGTAGCTGATTGTAAATTGTCATCAATATTGTGTTAATTAAAGTGAAACATGGGAATATATTTATATGCAAATATAAGGAAAAAATTTGACATGTACTAAGATAAGCTACTTAATATTTATGAAGACATGGGAAGAAAATACTCCAATTAAATATTTTTGAGAAAAAAATTAAGAGACTGGTTCAGGTAAAGATTTTAGATATAGCTGGACAAATAAATCTCCTTATTTTTTAATTACCTAAATTCTGATGTTATATCAGTGATAAGCATATAAGTTTGTTTATCATAATAACCAAAGAAGAACTAGGATTTTGCTTGGGGTGATAGAGAGGGCTGTATCATATTTAATAGGATCAAATTTGAGGTATAGTCATTATATTGTCCAAAAGAGTAAACATGGGATGTTATTTATTCTACCATGATTCATGTGAATATTTTAGGCTTTCTGACATAGTCTCAAAAAAAAAAAACCTCCTAAATGGTACTAGTTAACATTTATATGTGCCAGGCAGTAGGGTAAATGCTTAATTCACAATCTCATTTAATCCTCACTATAATATTAAGAGCAGGTATATTTGATCTTCACTTCATAGCAGGAAACAACCTCATTAATGGCCATACTTCGTAAGTGGGGCAGCTAGAATTGAAACTGGGCAGTCTGCCCCAGAAATCATGATTTTAAGAAAAATTCTATACTGCCATTTTTTAAGGAACTATTTGAACTATGTATTTAACATTAAGTGCTAAGAGGCTCCCTTAAAATGTAGCATACTATTTTTTTAAAAAAAGAATATCTAAAACTGCTCCCAATGCCCCCAAAATACAGCACCTTAATTTTAAAGGATCACCTTTAGGATCAAAAAGTAGTTTTATTTAAATTTCATATTTATCTCCTGGTTCTGCTACTAAGGTTAGCAACTTATGGTAGGTATGATCATTGAGTTTTTCCATTAGAAAATTCCTTCTTATCCATTAGCATATGTGATCACTAAGTCCTCTGTAATGAGTTTTAAGTTCCTAACCATATATCTAAATTAGAATTATCATCTGAAAATACAAAAATCCATTTAAATAACAGACTTTTAAATTTTCTTAGCTCATCCTTCAATGTTTTCAACAGCTCCAGGCTTTCTTTCAATGGATGGATGAATGAAAGACTACAAAAAGGAAGGAGTGCTTTGTGGGTTAAAAGCATGATGGATGCAATGAGATTTTTTAAATTGAGAATGCTTTGAAACAAAGAAGGCAGAAAATCATATGGTCATTTAGAATAACTAAATGAAGTTGTAAAAACAAGGATATATTTAAACAGCATAATTCCATTTCATAAAATCATAGGCCAGGAAAGGACCCCAAAGAATTGTCCAGTAGTGATCATCCTTTTTGCCTTTAGGCAACACTACATTTAAAGCCAGATTTAATTTCATAGAGTGGAGGGTGAAGTAGAAATGGGAGGCCGACCATATACGATAATACTGTAGTAGTTAAGGAACCAGGTAGCCTAATGTATTGTCATTTTTTCAAAAGGAGAAGGAAGGTGTTGGGGAAAAGAGGTCCAGATTACAGTGTTAGGATTTAAGGGAAGCAAAAGTACTTTTGCATAGCAAATTTGCCATTTTAAGAAAAATTTTCTCCATATTACATAACACTTTAGTGTATGTGTATTTGTGTGTGTGTGTGTGTGTGTTTTAATTAGACCCAGTTTTTTTTTTTGTTTCCTTACTCTTAACATTGTGAATTTCTGGGGCAGATTACTGATTTTTATAAGATTTCAGTGTAGTTTTACTTTTAGTAGGATCAATGAAGCTTTAATATAAAGTGATAGAGCTATTAAAAATAAAAATTGAAAGTTTTTTCCCATTCTTGATATTATGGGAGAGAAAAGCATTCAGTCAAAAGACAACATAATTCTACAAAGAATCTGGTTTGACAGCTTAAGAATTGAGTATGGATTTATCTCTGGGCAGCACATTTGAACAAGGAATCACAATGAGACGGAACACAGAAACATTTCCAAGGCAATGAGATAGTGTGGCTCCTATCAGAGATAAGAAAGCCCCCCTCCATCCCATACACATCATACACATATGCAACACTGCACAAGACACAGTAGTGGGATGAGTAAGGATGAGGGACTGAGATGCCAGGCTACCACGAAATGCCACCAATTATTTAACATTTTAAGACTGGACAAAGAATCCTTTTATTTTCAAAGGAGGGGGGGTGAGGGGCAGAGTCACATTATAAATCTCATTCACTGTGCTCAACAGTCAAAACAACACAGAACTCAACATTCAAGACAAAAACAGACCTTTATTTTCGTTTATAATTTTCAATTGGTTTCCTTGATTTTTTTTTCTCAGATGAATACCAATTAAGTCATTTGGGGCTATTGTTGCAACTGAAAATATGAAAGCACCTTTATTTTCTTCTCTTTTTGCCCTCTTCTTCATCTCCTTCTCATTTCTCTTCAGGCTTCTCTTTCTTTTCAACCCTTGCTTTCTTCTTTTAGAAGAAGCTTGCTTTGGACGAGGAGGCAAGCACTTGGTGAGGTCTGCTTCCCAAATGACTTTCTTTTCAATGTGCCAGTTCAGCCATTGGAACACTGGCTGAAAACCAGCTCTTTTGCAATTTGAATGAATGTTTTCTGAAAGTTGGCAAAGTTTAGACCACATTCAAATCACAGGACATATATAGGAACCTTCTGCGATTCCTAATGAGGAAGTGGATCACTGCTGTAATGACATTTTAATCTGTATCTAATTTAAGAAATCCAGGCCTATGAAAGAATACATTTTCTTCAAAATTATATCTACATTTATAACATGTAAATTAGTCCTGTGTCAGATCACACATTTTTATTCCAATTTCATTAAAGCAGAGAGCACATAAGAAGTTTCCTTTCCTATATAAAATTTTACTAACTGATAGATTTGAGGATCACTATTAAGTGATTAACTTGTATTCTGTGCCAAGGGAGGGTCATTTCTGGCTGTGTTGTATTTGACAGGGTGAAAAAAGATCCTCTTAACTATCTCTTTTATACTCTGCTATACTAAGAAATATTGTAAATCTAGAAATGTAGTAGATATCACAACACTTCATTGTCTGGTTTTTACAGGTTGCCTATCATTTCTAGATAGTGAAAAAGAATAGCCTAAAGATAAGATTAACTAATAAAAAATACTACTTTGTTGGAACCTCTTGCAAACTGCTATGAGCAGATGATAATATATTTTTAAAATATCACAAAGTCTTTGGTTGATGTGTTTCCTTATATTCAGGCTCAGTGGTTTACCAAGCTTTTTTCTTCTTGGATTGTGTACCCTTACCAGTTAAAAAAATCTGTTGTTGACAACTTATGTACATGTATTACTCTATATTAATAGATATATAAGACATATACAGAAAAGAAATTCAAAAGGCTGAGCTATAAAACCCAAGGAGAAATTCCAAAGATTTTCTTCCTGTGCTTCAATAGAACCCTGTATAACACTCTTTTCCAGAGACCTATATTTGTATGATTTTCCCATGAGTGAAATTTGTGTCATTCATGTTTTAACTTCCCATTCTCTATCTGGCACAGTGCTTTGTGCACTAAACAAATTCAAATGGAGTGATGGTTTTCTTTATATACAAAGTACTCCAAAGAATGTAGCCTATTTGGTCACTATGTAATTATTAGGAAGGCCTATTGTGTAATATTGTTCCTGTTTCTCTGGTGAAAATTAAGGAGAGAGAAATAAAAATAAAACTTTAGTGACCCAAAATTTCACTCTGGTATCCTCTCAATTTCCCTGCCCCTGCAATGGCAATGTTGAAGGAGAGTAAAATATGAAAATGAAACCATAAGCATACTAATTGGGCTCTTGAGGAACTAAACCAACAATGGTTAATGGTTTCTAGTATATGATTCAGAAGGGAATTGTGCTCTTTTAAAATTGGACAATGATGTCCTCGTGGAAAACAGTTTTTTTTTTCTACAACACAGCTGTGTAATGAGCACAGAAGGTTGGGAAAGGTTAAATCACAAATGGGAGAGAAGGCTGGACATAGTAGTATTAGTCACCAGTCAAATCTGAGAGGCATTTGTTACAACTCTGTGGTTGTAACCACAGAGTACTTTAAGTCTTCCAGGCTAATGATATCAAGTATGCAGAACACTATTCTTGTCACAAAGGGCGATTAGCATTTGCATTGAGACCACAGGAATATTTTATATGGATATTAATTCAGTAGCATGCTACAAAGAATAACTTATTTATGTGTAAGGTGACAATTAAAATTTAAATGGATTTAATGTCTTTGTAGGTTTTATGATGAAGATGATTAACTATTGAAGGGTTTACACTGTAATTTGAATTGTTGTATAACTAAATGCTAGCTCTCTTAATTCATGCTTTTATATAATTCAACTAGCTATGCCTAGCACTGTATAACCATGGAGAAGGGAGGGCAATTTGTTATATCTGAAAAAAAGTGTAAGATTTTAAAATCTAGCTTTTAGTTCTCCCTCTGTAATCAATTACCCATTTCACAATTAGAAGTCATGTATTTATTTTCTTTTAGGCAAAATAACAATACCAAACCATTACTATTTGGTAACAATTTCTCTGATGGAAAAACTGATTTTAGTGAAAAATCCCTTCTTTTAAAAGGACAGTTTGAGTGACTCTACCAACATTGCTAAGTGTTTTTTTTTTAGAATGGGTACAGACCATACTTGTAAGAATGATAATACATTTCACAAAAATCAAGTATGGCCTGTGTTCATGTCTGTCAATTCTGGTGTATCACTAAAGATTACTTCCATACAGATGTGAGGAAACAATCAGAGCTAGATTATATTCTACACTTCTTTCTCTGAATTTCTGCCAAATTCTGTGGTTTAATAACAAATATGTCTTGGTCAAATTTTTAGGGTATTACAATAGATTTTATGACAAATAGTTCAGATGGCAAAACCATGATATCTTTAGTATTGATTTATTGACCCAAAGAAGGGAAGATTCTTTGAAGGACAATCATAAGCATAAATGGCAGTCTAGATTTATCCACAGAATTTAGAAAATTTAAACAATAGACATGGAGGTCAAGGTGCCTCACTCTTAGGCAGGAATTCATAATTGGGACAGTTAAAAACTCAAGCTAAGGGATGATTATATTTGAAAATTAAGGTAAAGTCACCAAATTCCTTAATGAGAAAAAACTAAAATTCTTCAGATCATAAAATTTTACTATGACTTAAACAGGGAAAATGACCCAAAACAATTCCATTAATATTAAATGCCAATAAAATGCTTTTTGATGGAATTCTACATACCAGAACCATCTTTTTTAAAAACACGTTAAAATGGTTAGAGCACAGAGGCAATTGTAAGGCAGATCAATGTGATTTTATTCACAACACAAATTCCATTTGTGAGAAAGAAGCATAGATTACTTCTTTTTAGAAAGATATTTACTATCAAGCATACTTAGCAAATTATTTAGCTATCTAAAAAGATATCTGATACCAACTGGTCATATTTTTATTTTTAAGTAATTTATATTTTTACAGGTATTCACATTATGCAATACCACACACTGTAGCAACAGGAAGAAAAAAAAAACATTTCAAAATACAATGTTAAATTTCTGTTCATTGCACAGTATGAATTATCCATTAATTAGCATTGAAATCATTACAGTGTATCTATCCAACTAAAGTAAATTTCACATTCACCACAAGAAAAATAAGCACTATTGAGCCATAGGGGTCCCAGTTACATTATATGAAATAATATCTGAAGCTAGTTTGAAAGACATCCAGACAAAATACTTTTCAAAAATGAAAACCACAGCCTATAGATTTGGAATATTTTACAGAATAGAATAGCTCATGCCTGTCCTAAGAGGCAATACCACTTGTATACAAGTGCCAAGAAATAAGGAGAAAGTTAGGATTTTAGCTGAGGAGTCTAATAAAGCCTTGTATAAGTAATTTCCTTCATTAGTGTCACTAAAAGCAGTCTCTGTGTTGCACCTGAATACATTTTATAATAGAATAAACATATTAAGTTTCAGAGCAAGTTGTGTATACCTTGCCTTAATAGATTACACTTAATTTAGTACAATACAGCACGTCAAGTTTTAAAAATGCAAAATACACTTAATACAGAATTTGTTTCCTCTGCTTTGCCTTAAAGAAGCCACCGAAGAGTCCATTAAACAGCCAGGATTTTCTAGTTATTGGAGCTGATCCCTCTCATTTCCTGGTGTCAGGAGAATACAACTGAGGTGTCACCACACAGAGCCCTTCCCCAGTCAAGACCCTTTCCCCTTCTGTTCTCCCACAGAAAGGGCAGTTTTCTCTTACTGTGCTCCATCTTGATTGGCTTTGATCTTATGCTAGTCCCACTGTAGATAGCTCGAATTCTTCTTAAGAGTGGCCTGCCCCTCTTAATATCCCTGTAGAAAGGCCCCCAATCCAAAAACACTTGATGATCTAAGCTTTTTACAAGTCTGTTTTCTGTTATAAACAGCAAGGATGAGGCCATTTTAGTTGCTTGCAAGAGGTTGATGTTGAGTCTGCGCCGTGCCGACTCTCTCCGATCTAAATTCTCTAAACATTAGCTTATCAATCTGTGAGTCCAATGGGTTGAGTGCCAACAGAAGTGGATCCGATTTGGCATGGAGAGGTTCTACCAACTCTCGCAGTGTATTAGCCTAATATGATAAAGCAGTGATACAATATGATGAAAGACCTGCGAGTGCCATTATTCCAAAGCATATTAGTATTTGTATTAGAAATACCATCATGCAATACCCATGAGGAGAAAATAGAAAAATATGGCTAGAACTGCATATGGTTTTAATGCCATAATGTCTTTCTGTTGGCATGCAAGTCTATGTGGCCATAAATGGGATACTTTTTGTTTTAGTTTGGTTGTTTGAAATGCCAATCTTCCAAATATACACAGTAACAAACAGATAAAAAATTTTCCACCTCTAAACTTGTATATGCATATCTACAATTTTAATCAGAAATGTCTATATTAAAATGATTAGTCTTTTAAATATTAAAATAATTTCTATACAAGAGCTTTCCTCCAATTCATCCAATCAACAAATATGAGAAAAGGTTTTCTGATCTTCTGAGATATATGCTACCATGAACTAATATTTTACTGAGATAGTAAAATAGTCTAGCTAGTATCACTCTGATAAGGAGGCCGCATGCGAAACCATACAAGTGAAGAGAAATGAAAAGTTGTAATAGAGTAGTCGTGATGAAGGGTGACTTTACACCTGAGCATAAGCCACATACCAAGGAGTTAAGAAACTAGAAGAGAATGAAGTTTCTGAATGACTTGAGAAACTAAGAACAATTTGCATAAAATAAACTGCAGTCTCAGTTCATTTTATTTTGAGGAATACAAGTATCATCAGCAGGCACAAATTGGCAATATTTGTTATCTCTATCCTAGGGCTGAATTTTATGTGCAACATCCTTTTATATTTTTTGAGTTATACACAGAAGAAGAAACAAATCAAGAGAGGGAACCAAGAAAGTATAGTGTTCATGATTACTCTCTTAGGAAATGGAGAGGAGCATGTGTTGTCCATAACACTGGTATCTAGAAAATGAGATGCAGCAGAGTTCAGAAACCAGCAGAATTGTTTATCACATCATTATGTTTGTGCACAAAAGGAGCTGAGAACTAAGTAATCTTCATATGTAGGTCAAATGAAACAAAATATAATACCTCATTTTTTTGAAGATTATAAATACTGAAAAGCTAGCTATAACTTTTTCCAATGTATTCCATAAGGTCATGGAATTTCAAACAGCGAAAACAGAAAAATCTAACCTTGGGCATAAGGTCATTTCTAAATTTAAATTGTACTTAATTTATCTATGCAATTCAAGCATTCTATAAGTTGTTTTGAACACATCCCTCATTTTCCTGCAGAACCAATGTTATATACTACTGTATTCCCTAATGCTCAGTTAACTCTGGTAATCAAACTCGACTAACTTAGACTTATATCATTGTTTCTATAAGATTGCTGAACGTTATTCCAAGAGATTGGAAACACCTGAGTTTAGCACCTTACCAGAGTGCAGGATGATGAGGAAGAATCACTATTTTAAACTAGTTACAGCTAGCTACTAATCTGTGTATATTAGCAGAAGAGAAGATAATTTCCCTAGGGCAAGGTATCTCTTCAACTAATAGTGGTCAATACCACTCACAGAAGAATCTCAGGGGTGGGGATGAGATCTGTTTGCTAATCACAAATTTCTGGGCCCTTATCCCTCATCTACTGAATCAGAATTTCTGGATATAGAACTCAGGAATGTGTATTTTGAACAAGCAATTCAGTTTATTCTTATGCCCACTGCAGTTTGAGATCTCTTGCTTTAGGCCAGTCACATGTGGATGGCCCACCCAATGGGTAGGGCTGTTTGAAGTAATGTCCAATTGTACTGCATATCCAAGTAGTTTCCAAGTCAGAAGACCTGAGGCTGGGGACTTCACACAGCATTTTATTTTTAATGTTATCTGAAGTCCCAAACATAACATTTTTATCACATATAACATTGTATTACAGTTAAAAACAATGTTTTTGCTGAGGAATCTGATGGAAATATCTTGGTCTACTAAAATTATGGCAAAATGAAAGCGGCCTTGGTAAACAGCTTGAATAAATTCTTTCAAGCTAAATTTTATGTAGGGTTAAATAATTCCTATTTATTTTTGAGACAAAAAGAACAACTACAAAGATACTCTTAGACTCAACCCCACTGAATCAACAGTATGTCCAGATAAATGCATTATGTATCTAAAGTAACAATGCATTGGCAAGCCAGGTAGACAGAGGCAAGGGCACAAAGTGCTGCTGGTATATGGCTAATCTATAAGAAATCTCTAAAACAAAAAACCAAAACAAAACAAAACAAAAAACAACAACAAAAATACACTTCATAATCATATGTACTTCATCAAAGTCCACTTTTGACTTCTTGAATCTCATATTTATATGTCTTTAACTTTTTGCAAGTCCCTTTTAGATTCTCAACCCTATTTATTTTTTCTTCCTTTGTGTTTTCATTGGGCTTTCTGTTTTTTTTTTTCTGTGTCTGATCCCGTGTTTCTACCTTCCTCATTTGTAGCTGACACCTTCATTTATCCTTACTCAATAGCCTAAATATTCAAATCAGCTAAAATTACTTATTACAGTAACAGACTAAGTTTATCCCTATTTTCTAAAAAGACAAATGAAAATTGTATTTTTTTTAAAGGCAGCCAAAACTGAAAAATATATGACTCTTGACTATTTTGTTTTCTTATGGCTGATTTAACTATAAAAATATCCCCTATTCCTGCTATTAAAATAAATATCACTATTTTCAAGCTTTTAACCAATGATATTTTGGAAGAACAGCAATGTGTCTATGCTACTCCAAAGAAAAATCAGTCATGTCTCTGCTTGGCATATTAAGAAATATTTATTAATTTTTCATTCATCACTGAAACCTCTGCTTATTAGGCCAGTAGCCTAGCAGGATAAGAAGGAACAGATATTATTTCCCTGTTCCTGGGTTCCTGGAGTTCTGAATGATGGATCCAGATGTAACATCATCTTGAATTGTGCATAGAATGATTTCTCCCAGTGTGGATCTACTTCCCATGTAAATTCTTTGAGGCCCAGTTTGAAATCACATAGGATACTTTGAGAAGGATATTTCTTTCCCTTTATATTTTACTAATTAAAAACAAAGTTCCACTAAGGACCACCCAAGTAATAGCAGAAATATGAATTCTAGAAACAAGTTTTATAATTGTAAACTGGCTTTAAAAAATGTATCTGCCAGGGTCTGGGGTTGTGGCTCAGCAGTAGAGCGCTTGCCTAGCATGTGCGAGGCTCTGGGTTTGGTCCTCAGTGCCACATAAAAATAAGTAAACAAAATAAAGGTATTGTGTACAACTAAAATTTAAAAATGTACCTGCCAGGAATGACTGATGATAATCTAATCATATTTTTTGAAGATTAGAATATAGAGTGGTTAAGGGTGGAGGCACAAACATTTGCAAGAGAATAATTAAGTTTGAATACCAAACAGGTGAAAAAAATCTTGCCCTTAATGAATGAAAGGCAAGAAAAATACTTGAAAATGGGAATAAGAAGTGCTTAAGAGAAATGAGAACTTAAAGAGTCGTACTTCTGTTTGACTTCTAAGAGACAACTCCATTCCATTTACTCAGTTTCATCATCACTGAGTTGAGAGCAAATTTAGAGCAAAGCCATAGAATATTTGTCTTAAACTGCTTGTAGAGAGATAACAAAGGTCACCAACAGCAGATATTCACCTATCAGCAGTAACACAGAAAGAGATACTGAGAAACAATTGTTTTGCTCCTTTTTTTTTTTAAAAAAAAAAGCTTATTTAACACAATTATCTGAAGCCTCCCGTTCTTTTAAACGTACCTATTTTGGATTTAAATTTTTCTTTTTGAAAAATAAAAAGATACTTAACACTATAAAGTGTTAGTGATAATTATTTTTCTCAATGTAAGTATTGGAAAGAGTACTTTTGTTCCGAATGTTTAGACCAAAAGAAAGATTGGTAATTGTGGGGCTTGAGTAACATGTGTCCATATTTTGAGGGCCTATTTTATCATAAAAGGTTCGGTTAAAAAGATGGGAGTTTAAGGGGCTGGGGATGTGGCTCAAGTGGTAGTGAGCTCGACTGGCATGCGTGTGGCGCTGGGTTCGATCCTCAGCACCACATACAAATAAAGATATTGTGTCAGCTGGAAAAACTAAAAAAAAAAAATAAATATTAAATTCTCTCTCTCTTAAAAAAACAGATGAGAGTTTAAAAAAATTGCTTGCTTCATTTTTCTTTAACACCACAGGGGTTAGGAATTAGAAAGTTTTAATTTTAAATTTATAAATGAGCAGCACAGTGAGAAACAGTAAAAACATAATAAAGTTTGTGCTTATAGAACTTATGTACTTCTTTAATTAACAATCCAAGCAAAATATTTTATGAACCTAGCTACAGGCCAAACAGTTAAGGAAATACTGTTTGCAGGTAATTGGAATTTTCCTCTAAATTGGCAAATCACAATTCCTCTATCTATATAATTCACACGAGATGTAATATTTTCTTATGAAAGTAGTTTTCATCATAATGTATCTAGTGCTATATTATGACCCCAGAGTGCATTTATGATTTAGTTACTGTCTGTATACTACATGATAGCTTTTTCTATTTGCTTTAAAAACTATTATCTCAAATAAAGTAAGTCCTAAAGTCTTTTTTTTAAGAGAGAGAGAGAGAGAGAGAGAGAGAGAGAGAGAGAGAGAATTTTAATATTTATTTTTTTAGTTTTCGGCGGACACAACATCTTTGTTTTTTTGTATGTGGTGCTGAGGATCGAACCTGGGCCACAAGCATGCCAGGCGAGCGTGCTACTGCTTGAGCCACATCCCCGGCCCAACCTAAAGTCTTTTAGTTTACTTATGTATTTATTTTGTGCTGGGGATTGAACCCAGGGCCTTGGTGCATGCTAAGCATTGGCTTTATCACTAAGTAACACTCCTAGTCTAAAGCACTCTTTTAAAAAATATTTTTAGTTGAAGATGGACACAATACTTATTTTTATGTGGTGCTGAGGATCAAACCCAGTGCCTTACACATGTAAGGCAAATAT